TTTCCTTAACAATGTCAGAAAAGTTTTTATACTACAGAATTCAGTAGAAGTAGAGAACTAATGATTCAGGAAAAAGGAGAGAGCAGAATTGACATCACTGTCCTTGAGTAGGCAAGAGGGCACGGGATCTAATACTTACATGGAGGGATTGGCACAAGTGAGGAAGATAGGCAATGCATCCACTGTAACAGAGAAGAAGGTAGACTATGTGGGCACAGCTACAAGGAAGTGTGTAGATAAGGTGGTGAGAGCCTGCAGTAGTCCTCTTCTGGTTGCTGAAATGTCTCAGGCTACATTATCTAGTGAAGAGCATGGAGAGAATGTGAAGTAAAAACAAATGAGACCCCTGATGGATTCTAATTCTCAGGACCAATTAAAAGAAAAACACAGCACTGAGTGGAAGTACAGCATAGAAGCCTAACAGAAAAATTAGGATATTGTGGTCTCACAGAAGCCCGTGTAACTGCTCAACTGTCATTCACTGACCCTACATCTCAGGAGTTAAATGGCTGAAAGCCAATTCACTACGGACAGTCTAGAAAAAGGTGACACATCAACCTTCACATAGGAAAGGGAGCAAACATTGTCAAAGAGCTATCTTTCTACAACAGCCTACGCTGTAGCATAATATCAACTATCTTGAGTGTGTATATGCCTTTCTTATAAAGTAAATTTAGCTTGCTTTTTTCAAAGAAACAAGAATAATCTTCCAAACGGTAACAGTATATTACCAATATCAACTTTTCCCAAACTTCTAAAAATAAAAAAAAAGATGGTATGTAATGGAGCATCGAGGTAGTTAATTCTCAAACTGTTTATTATCCTTGTAAAAATCTAATCTTTCCAAAACCCAAATAAATAGGTTTTACTATGAAATCTGCATCATTTCTACATTTTGCCTTTCTTCTCTATGTGGATGAAAGCTTTCAAAGTACTGCCTATTCGCTGGTTTATAATAATATATCACTAAGAAGAATCGCTTCATCCACAGGAAGTTCAAGCTAGCATTTTAAAGCAACACTGCCACCAGAAGACACGAAAGAAAAATAAATGCTAACAACTACAGAACAGACTAATTCCAAAACGTTTACCCGGCCTCCCAACGTGGCTACGTTACAATCTGCCTACTACCGATTCTTCAGAAACACTTATTCCTTCTTGTACTTCATCTTTTTAATTTTTCCCCCCAGGATCAGCCTAACCAACCTGCTAAGACACGGTTTCCAGTCTGAGTCAGTCCTCAAATGCGGCAAAACAAAGTGGCAGAGACTGTTCAATTGCTTTCTGTCATCAGTAAACGAAAAGCAAGTAAATGTCATGGGGTCAGCATCTTTTCATTAGATTTAAAAGTAAAGCAATCGGGCATCTGATTAAGCCCTGAAGATGCTTTAGAGACGAAGAGCACAACCTCTAAGACACAAAAATTATAAAAAAGAAACAGAAGATTAAGTAGGATAAAAACCACGAAGAGGATATTAACTTGACATCTCTTTTCAACTTAAAATTGTATCCTAATGTGTCCTATGTCTTGCTCTGCGTAGTGTTTACACAGGTCCTCGAGCCCTTTACTATATATGTAAGTTATCACTGAATTTTTTTTCACTCCTTGAAAAACTCCGTCTGTATCACCGATTTTTTAAGTAAGTGATCAACACTGGGTCCTATTCCGCAACGTGTCATGGAACCGCTGAATCTGTCATTGTTCACAAGTGCGGAAAAATTGGTCGTGGTGGGAAGTCAGCCCTCGGCTCGCTTACGGTCTCACCAGCAGGGGCTCGCTGCTGGCCCCCAGTGCCTTTACCGGGTGCTTGGGACGCGAGCTCTCCCTGCCGGACGCTCACGTCTGGGATTAAAGGGCCGGCCGGGGAGGGCGTGACCAGCTGGGCCGCGCTGCCGTCGCTTACCCGGTAGTTGCTTGAGCCCACCCAGCCGGTGAGCGCGTCGACTGTCTTGCCCAGGCGGCCCAGGTCCTCCTCCAGGTCCGGGATGGCGCCGGGAGCACCGAGGTAGAGCAGGAGCTCCTGGCCGACCTGCAGCCGGCCTCCGACGTCCTTCTGCTGCACCTGGGCGCTGAAGTACTCCATGCTGCGGGGCTCCATAGCTGCGACCGGCCGCCCGCCCGCCCGCCAGTCCGCCAGTCCTTGAGGAGCCAACTTTCGCCGAGCGCCGCCCAGCCGCTAGTGCGGGGCCCCGAGGGAGCCGACGAGACGCACTTGGCCCGCCTGAGGCGCGGCTCGCGGGGCGCGGCGGGCGGCGGGAGCGGCGCCAAACGCCCAGCGGCCCCCAAACTAGTCAAACTCGGCGCCCCCCGAGCCCCAGCCCGCTTCAGAGGCCGCGGCCGCGGGCGACGTCAGCACGCGCGTGACGTCAGCACGACGCTGGCGAGCTCCCGCCCGTCCGGCTCGAGGTTCTCCCTGGCGGTAGTGGCAGTGGCTGCGGAAACCGCTGGCGGCGTTGCTACTTCAAGGGGGATTTGGGGTCCGACTTGGGTCAACACGCCCGGTAGGTGGACCGTTCTTCACCAGCCTCCATTGCAGCACCCGGCCCTCGTCCTGTACTATATAGAACCCTTCCAAGTTTTCCTCCACTTGAATTCAATACTTGGGAAAGTTTCTGGTACTTGGGATTTCCCACCCACACTGCCATTTTTTACTTTTAAACCAGAGCACACTTTAGTATTCTTCCTCATTGAAAACATCATGACTCCTGCTTCCAGCCACCACCACTTTCACTGTATACTACTTTTTTTAAACTTGGGTTTATGTAGAGTAAAACGCACAGGTTTTAAGTCTACGCTTCATGAGTTTGGGCAAATGTATTTGATCGTGTGACCACCACCCCAACGAAAGTGTAGCGCGTTGCCATCACCACAGGAAGTTCCCAGACACTTCCCAGTCAATAACCACCTCCTCCCTAGGCAATTCTGATTTGATTTTTTATCATGGTAGCATAGTTTTCCCTGTTCCTGAACTTAACAAAACTCCATACAATCTGTATGTACCCTTTTTGAGCCGGTTTTCTTTCTCTTAGCCTAATGCTTGGAAGTTCTTCCAGCGCTGCCGGTGTCTCAGAAGTGCATTCCTTTTTATTGCTTTCCATTGTGTGGAAGCACTACGGTTTGTTGATCCATTCACTTATTGGTAAACGGTTGGGTTGTTTCCAGTTTTTGGTAATTATGAATAAAGCTGTTACAATGGCTAGTGTGCAAGTCTTTGCGTGGAAGTATGTTTTCATTTCTCTTGGATAAATACCAAAGACTGGAATTACTAAGTCTTATAAGCGTATGTTTAACTCTAGAAGAAACTGCCAAACTGTTTACTGAAGTGGGCAGACCAAATCAAATTCCCACCAGCAATGCTTGAGAATTCCAGTTGCTCCATATCCTTCACAGTATTTGCTAGGGTCGGGCTTATTTGTTTTAGCAATTCTGACTGCTGGTCAGATCTTAACAGGTCTTCATTGAGCCAGAATCTATTTCATATCCATCATTGTCCACTTGGGGGAACCAATTTTTAAAAGCATCATTATCTTCCAGGAGAAAATTAGAACAAAAAAGAAATGCTTGCAGATTTCTGAGGAAACCACCAAAGCAAGGTAAAACCGTTTTCTTACCTTGCATTGGCAAAACTACCTCTTCAGTGTTTTTGTTTAACTTTTGAGTTAAAAAAAAAAAAAAGCATCTTACCAATAAGGATAAATGTCATATACATCATTATGAAAATACTATTGCTGTGAGATAAGCCATATATGAATGTTGTATACAACTTTAGGGTTCTCATTTTAATCCTGAAGTGTTCACCTCCTTTCATGACTATGTACACTATATTCCCAAGTGGGGAGGGGTCTCCTTTATATAGTGCCTTATCGTTAATAAGTCAGTACCTGTTCTGTTTCTGGGATGTTCTTTTGTGCATTAAAAACTTCAAAATTAAAAAAAAAATAAAAATTTGGCTATAACGTGTTCCCAATGCACATTGTATTTATCTTCCTGCCAATTATTCCCAACCACAATTAAATGATTATTTGCTTAATATCTATCTTTTGTGATGCACAAAAAGCTCGAGGAACATTTGTGTTTTTCCTAGGATAGTGCCTAGCAAATAATGGGCACACAATTTAAGTTGAAAGAGTGAATGAATTCAATACAAAATGACATTTGAAATTTTCACAATAATAATAAACTCAAAATCCAAAGAACTCTACTGTTTTCTGTGTTCTGAAGTTTTTTCAATATTTCTGTGTTTCACATTGTGTTGTGTTGTAAAGTTTCTTCCGTCTTTGGTTGTAATTTCTCTGAGACTGTGTTAATCAAGTAAACTATGTGTGATGGTTAATTTTATGTATCAACTTGACTAGACTAAGGGATGCCCAGATAACTGGTAAAATATTATTTCTAGTTGTGTCTGTGAGGGTGTTTCTGGAAGAGGTTAGCATTTGAATTGGTGAGCTGAATAAAGCAGATGACCTCCCCAATGTGTGTGGACATCATCCAATCCAGTGAGGCCTGAATAGAACAAGAAGGTAGAAAGCAGGTGAATTCACCCTTTCTGCTTGAGCTGAGACATCCATCTTCTCCTGCCCTTGGAGATCTTGGTTGGGGAACTTTTGGACTCAGATTGGGACTTACATCATCAGTCTCCCAATTCTCAGGCCTCTAGACTAGGACTGAATTACACCACTAGCTTTCCTGGTTTACCAGCTTCCCCAGTTCTCCAGCTTTCAAACAGCAGACTGTGGGATTCTTGGCCTTCTTAACCATGTGAACCAATTCCTGCAATAATTCTCCTCATATCTATCTTTCTACTGGTTCTGTTTCTCTGGAGAACCCTGTCCAGTTCTACTATGGTAATTATTCCTCGGGTGTCTAAAGGTTCTGTTCTATAAGGGTTGCAGAAGGATATAAAAAGAAAATTCTATGCACAAGAAGTTTACACTCTAACTGCTGGTGACCAGTTGCAGTATGTGGTATAGAAAAAAATAAAAAGCGACTGCTGCTCTGCACCCTTAGTTGTCTCCATTCACCTTTCTGAACTTACATAACTTGAGGATCACACTAGATGGTCTTTAAGTTATAAGTTAACTAAATCATCTTTTGGTTATAACACAATTGCATTTGAGTAACACTGGAAGCACCTATAAAATAGTAAACACTGGTTACTATTACCTAAATATCCTCTTTGTGTTTCATTAATTCATTAACAAATATCTTCTGAGCACCTATATTGTGCTAGACATTGTGCCAAGTTCCATAGACACAAAGTTCACTTAGACCCGATCTCTGCCCACAAGCTCAAATACAGACAAGAAAATCAACATTTCTGGGATGTTATCATGGAGTAGGAAGAGGGTTTTTGAAAGCCCAGATGAGAGATTCCTTATCTAGATGGCACTGAGTATGGGGGTAGGAGAGTTGTAAATTAGGGAGGACTTCCTGGAAGAGGTTATATTTAAATAGAATTTTGAGGATAAGTAGGAATTAACTAAGCAAGTGGTTTCCTGGGGTATAGCATGTTTATCTATAAGATATAGTCTTGACTTTTAATTTAACACTTGTTATTATCATTGTTATATACCTATTACAAAATCTACATCTTTGTCTATATCACCATTGTCTGTCTTAGGTTAAACATTGGTAGAGCAGAAAGTTACCAAACTTTCTAGTATCTCAGTCATTTTTTCACAGCACCCCTAGACCAAAAGAAATACCTAAGACATACCACTGAATAGCAAGATCCAAATGACTTCAGGCACATGAAAAAATAATACATGCAAATTGAAAAAATTTTTTATTTCATTCTTGAACAACCACACTTATGAATAGGATGTCTGTGCCTGTTAGTTACTGCCCAATTTCTCAAACCTTGGAATGAGTCTAGATATGGTCATTCTCATCCTGTTGCACATTGATTCTCAGGCAGTACTTTTTTTTTTTTTTTTAACACAGCAATCAAAGAAAACACAGCCTTGAAAGGATATGACATCAGTGAAAGAAATGTACCACAATCTAATGTTGAAACTGCATTCCTTGGAGCCATCCACGTCTGACAAATTCCAAATGTCACTGTTTCCCTTTAAAATTTAAAATACCCTAGAGTGATCTTGGTGAGTTTGCTGTGGCACCCTGGGATGCCTGGCCACATAGTTTAGGAACTTTGGCAGAGAGACAAAGAGAACAGGAAACACAAATAGTAATCATACAGAAAGAAGGTACGGATTTAATGAAAACTGGGCTACAAAAGCTCATGCCTTGTCATGGGTTAGGTCTTTCTAACCCTCTAAGCAACCCTATATGGAAGGTATATCCCCAAAAGCTGAGACTCAGAGATTAAGTCCCTTGCCTAATTCATGATTTCAGATCCATGATTCAAATCCAGGATGTCTGGCTTTTGTCGTCTTCCAAATAAATAAATAAAGGAAAGAAAATTAGAAAAAAGAAAGTTTTAAATTAACTACCACAATAGTAATGCCTCTTGTACAACACATTGTATTTCTTTGAACATTTATATTACATTTCCTCTTAGAACCTTCCTTTCTCTGAATTGCTGTTAAAAAGAAAAGAGTAAGAAGATAGAGAAAATGGGTAGGAATTTTAGGAAAGAAATTGGTGTAGGAAACATCTACATTCTTTCATACTCAGTAACTTAAATTTATCTGGGAGCACCAGTCTATTTTTAACTGGCAACAAGGCCGAAATACATCATTTAAATACAGGAGACTGACTTCCTGACCTATTTGTTCATTATGTCTGATAATAGTGGAAACTTTGAGTAGACTTTGTTCTGACACTGGAGTTTATTTTCCATACAATGGCTAGAAGACAAATAAATCACCATACTGCTGCTTTGAAACCATACTTCAATAAATATCCTTCAAGAAAGGCATTGGGTTAAGTACTGAGGAGGGAGTGGGGGTTGGATGGGAGTGGCTTACCAAAGATATATTACAATCTTTCTTCAAAAGTTAAGAGACATATGTACACAAATGTTCATAGCGGCCTTATTCATAATAGCCCAAACTGGAAACAGCCCAAATAGCCACAAACTGGAAAATAGATAACTGTGGTACAGTCATACAATGGAACTCTATGAAGCAATAAAAACCAAACTACTAACACATTAGACAATGAGGACAAATCTTAAAAACATCACTTTGAGCACAATATACCAGAGACAAAAGAGTATATGCTGTATGATTTCACTTATGAGAAGTTCTAGTACAGGAAAAACTTAATGATGATGATGGAAGTTAGAATAGTGGTTATCATAAAAGAAGGGAGTCAGTGGGCATTGTCTAGGAAAGGGCCTGAGAGAACTTCCCATAATGATGGCAGTGTTCTATATTTTGATCTGGGTGGTGATTATAGGGGTATATGGATTGGTACAAATTTACTATATCTATATTATAGCTAATAAAAAAGGAGAAAAAAGGTTAAGAACAAGGGATTAAAAGGGAAA